TAGAGAGCTGTGGAAATGAAGACTTAACATTGACCTGAGCTGACTGACTGGATCAGAGAAAAACAAGATTCAACACTTTACTGGTACCATTTGTGGCCATGGGTAGAAAATCAAACGCCATTCAATTCAATGTAGTTTCATTTGTGGATCTAACTGTTACAGAAGCTGATGTCGGCCGTCTGTTCCTTCAGGAGTTGAAGAGTGGCTGAAACTGCAGGCGCAGATCTCCAGACCTCAAGCTTCTGCTTCCCCCTAGTGGACTAATAGTTTCATAGCATATACCAGTGTGACTAATACTAATGACTAATAATAATGCAAAAACTAATGCTAATTCTAATACTAATGCAACAACAATTATAATAATGTTATTATTGGTTCTTTTTCACTTTTTATATAAAATAAAAATAATGGTTACATCATATCCACTACTTCATGGTACTATTCCAGTTTACGTGGCCCTGGGACTGACGGAGTAGAGGATTCTGGTCAGTTCTAATGTACCTAGACATACACATTGGTGTCCTGTTATGAAGAGTAAATGTTGCATTGTACTTGTAATGACATTTTCATGAGAAGAACAGGCAAACGTACAGTCTGACAAACTAGCCACTCTGTGTCTTTGTTTTCTGCGATGCTGCATTCACAGCCTTGTTAAAAATCAACTGATGACTAACAAAGCGCCCACACTCTACGTAGCTGGGTATCGGTACCAGCACACTCTGTTCCAAAGCCACTGAGACAATGTGCTTGTCCCAACTGTCCAAAACCTTATCCCCCATACTGTAAATATGACTAGCTGATGATGAATGGCCATCTCCACTTTACAGTGCAGCGGATGTTTTCCTTTTAAAACCACAGGAAAAAGACTAGGGTCTAGGCCTGGTTTGCATTTGGCAGCAATGCACGTGCTTATCCCCAGGAGTGTAGGCCTGCACGGGCCACAGGAAAACAGGCCACTGCTCTGGAGCCTCCAGTGCCCCCCACAGCCCTGCTCTGACACACAGGCCCAGTGTCCAGCCAGAGGAAACGCTCGATCGTCCGCTTGACTAGAAACAAAACATGCAGTACCACCGGAGAGGCACAGAGTGTCTCCAACGCTCTCCTGTGAGCATTGTTTATCACGAGTGAGACCTCGGTTGGTCTGTACGTACGTGGATGCACTGAGCACGTTCCGATAAACGTGCATGCACACACACAAACACACACACAAAAGCAACAATACAGGAAGCGGGAGAGCTGTAGAACAGGTATCCTTTACATCCTCTCTTGGCTCCCACTGTCCTTTGGTGAAAGGGAATACCATCATCTCCTCAGCCCTGGGCCGGTCTGGCTGCGAGTACTGCAGCTTATAAGAGGCCATTTCCTTTCGCAATCATCCCTGCCTTCCCCTGTTCTAATCTCCCAGAGGACAGTGGCAATTAGCCCAGAGAGGGCCTCACTGTAACAGGGGCAACTGTGGCATCTCTGTCAACTCATGACCAGTCATTCATTCTGAAGAAAAAAAGAAAAAAACATTTAAGAATGAACCAGAGCCATAGTTTGGATTCCACCAATCTTCTCGGGCTCCTGTGCGCCATCATGAGGTTTTCCTCATCCATCATCATCCGACTTGTGGGTTTTTTAAAATACCTCTTTTGTGCATCATGTCTAGTTTTTTTTAAGTTCCTATTATTCAGGTCACGCCCCTATTATTAAGTTCCTATTATTCAGGTCACGCCCCATATAATCTCCACTGTGTCTGTGTTGTTGGAACATAGAGACACACACCTTCAGCCACAAAGGGCCTGAATGTGGCGTCTTTGTCAGCAGTGGTTTGTGGAGAGATCTTTCATCCATGTATTCTTGGCTTGTTGACATAGCAGTGAGGATTTCCTATTAATAATATCAGGAGATAAAAAAGTCTGAGTCCCAGTTTGGATATTTTCCTGGGTGCCCCCCTGTCTGCGCATGTTGCAACCTTGTTTGTGCATCATTTGTCTCTGTCTTCCACACAACAGGGATCCTTCTCTGGGGATTAGTCGTGTAAAACCGGCTACAGCACAGAACACCGCTGTAAATGACAGCAGCAGCTTCATACCCCTGATACAATACGCTCATTGATTCCATTGATGCTTTTGTAAATAGCAGCCGTACCCGCGACATGCACATGGAAACCACAAATGAGCTGTTTCACAGACCTAACAAATATTTCTTTTTTTTTAAAAAAATCCCAAAGTTCGAGTTTGTCATCACATGGTTTCCCTGCAAAGATTCTTTTGTCTCCCTTCCTCGAGCCCCTCTGGTTCCCCTCCAGTTTCTCCTGCTCGTGTCATGTCTAAATGCAAGCAGTGGAAGGAAGGTGAGGTCATGGTCGGCTGAATGTTGTGACATTCACCTGAAAGGAATCTGATAAAGATGAGGGCAACTACACCTTCACCATAAACATCACCTGAAGCGTTCAAGAAGAGACTGAAAAGTCAGGATCAGCCGTGAGACCAAACACCAGCAGGACCTGGACAGGCTCTGGACTGGTTAACAACAGTTATCAGATGGTAACAGTCATGCAGGCTCCTTCCAAATATAAATCAGCTCAGGTGGAGCAAGGGCGACCGTGGTTTGGAAATAAAGAAATGAAATGAAGATTGCAATGAGATGAAACGGGTTGAAAACAGATGAACCCTTCAGACTGTTGAAGTTTTCTTTGGGATCATGAAGGTCAAATACAAGCAAAACAGCAGACACTTGAACTCTTACTGTTGTGGATTAGTCAGGCAGATATTATTATTCTGATCTCTCAGTTTTTGCTCGTTCTCTCGTTGGGGTGCCACAGCTGTGGTCCATCATTCGACACAGAACTCAATGTTAATGAACTCAATTTTTAAACAAACTCATTCCAAGGAAATCGGTGAACTATCCAAAACTGTCAACTCATGTATTTGTGACCCCGTGCTCTCAGCACGGGTCAAAGGGAGAAGAGTTGAATGACAAACTCAGACACACAATTATCCGCGCAAACGCAGCGACCACGTCTAAACCAAACTAATTCCTGTACCTGGGGTGTAAGCTGTCTAAAGAATGCTCTACAGTGTCCTGGGCAGGAGCTGAGACAACAATAGAAGAAGGGGTAATTACAGAGAAAATGATGTATGAACTCAGCGGTAACCTTCGGCGAGAAGAGGGAAAACACACTCCAAAACAGACAGTGGGTTTTCTGTTAAGTAGTACAAACAGGCTGGGACCTGCCTGATCCTGGATAAAGCTATCTGTAAGCAGCACCCGAGAAGACGCTCATGGGAATTGGATGACCTGCTGCACTTCACTGTCTATACCACAGACGCCATAAAGAGGTGGATCTGCCCCTGCTTGCCTTAACGTGGCGTTAGTTATATGTGATTGAGAAGGTACGACATAAAGTACAGAATACTCTTTATTTGGAGCCAAATGTTAATTCTCGCCATATGTAGCGTGAAACAGTGAGGGCCAGTGATTCCCATCTGTTAAAAGAACCAAAGTGCTCGTCATTGCTCTGCTTCCAAACACACTTAATCTTATTGCAGGAAGGGCTACCGAGAGGAGAAAGGCAAGTAGCAGATGGAAACAAGACATCCAGGAAATTAGTTAAGGTTGTGGTGCAACAAGAACATGATTTGGCTCGGCGACTGCCCGTTTTCTTTATGTGGAAGAAAAGCAGAGTTGAACAAAAAAAAGGCCGGGACAAAGCACATATAAGGTGGAAGTGACAATCGTGGCTGTCTGGATGGGAGTTATTATCAGAGCCATTGGGCAAACTGGGTGGTAGCCTGTACGAGCGGTGAGCCCCCGCATACTGATGACCCCGGCCGCAACGGCTGGATTTCTCCGGCAGTTATTCATTAAGCCATTAAAGGAACACAACCGAGTCATTTGTGTGGCCTTACTTGTGTTTGGGCTGTTTTTCTTCGCTCCGTGCTCCGCTTGGTGCCAGAGAGAGGACAGAAGACACAGAAGAAAGGACAATGAATAAATCTGAGGGACAGAAAGGAGTGAAAACCGTTGGAGCTGGGCACGGAGCTGGAGCCAGCTGCTGGCCCGCCCGCTGAACAGGAGAGAACTCAATAATTGCGGAAGCAGCCCGATGAAAACCGCAAGCTGCTGGCCCTCATGCTGAACAGGAGAGAACTAATTAATTGCGGAAGCAGCTCGTGGAAAAGCTGATTCAAGGCTGAGACAGTTTGATAAATGGAAGCACATTCACATTCACTCTCCCTACACTGGAACTGAGAGAGGATAATTACTATGAACACTTGATGTCACAGGTCTTCTCTCAGTCACTGCCGTTAAACAGCAACACAGCCACAGCCACGATGACAACACGGAGGGCCATGAGCGCCCTCGTGTGTCACCACCTGCACACAGCAACAACAGCAAAGGTAATTGTAGTGACTTTATTGCCATCCATACATAGATTTATATACACACACATCTCTTTATCTTTTGAAATATACCGTAGACAAAATAAAATCACCAAGTAAACACAAAACAATAAAAACACTAAGAGACTCCCAAACCATCACAATGTTTTTTTCTTCTTTTTGTCTTTTTACAAAACATAATATCAAGGGACTGCTTCTCACTCGTCTACAACTGTTTTCTTTTAATGATTCACTGCACAATATAACGATGAGTTTATTTTATATTTAATTTGTAGGTGAAAATAAATGTAAATTACCTGAAGTGTAAATTTTAGGGAAAATAAACACTGAATAACCTAAGGGTTTTCAATGATTGAGCAAAACTACTCTACAGCCTCCCACATGCATGGACTGGACTTTTTAGGTGACAAACATTCAACAACATGAAGAACATCACCATTTAATGTTGCTTAATCCTACACATTGCACTTTTACAGGAATGTTTTTTGTAGTTCTGCACAGAAAATCAGCAAATGTGAAACTGAAACTCATCACGACATCTAGGTAGAACAGCACACAGCACCGGGGAATGACTAATGATTATCCACTGAAACCCTATCCTGACTTCATAGGATTCCAGAGTACGTCATTGGAACTATGTGAAACAGATCAACAGGATGGCCTGTAATCCCCCAAAATAGGCCTGGTTGCCATAGAGACAGAGTGCAGGGTAAAATGAAATACAGAAGAAAGAGGGAGAGGGGGGGTCACTAATGTGTTTATGATACTATTTATAGTCCTGCCAATGGAGTTAGTGTCTTAATTTAATTGGGACCAAAATAAGTTAGAAAACAAAGAAAAAGCAGAGCAGCTCTCAACCTGACTGAACTCCATATATTATCGACACAGAAATAATATCAACAAGATAAGATTTTGGTTTTATCTCTGTGCAAACTCAATACTCTATAGAACAGAGGCTAGTACTGCCTGTCAATCTGACGCTGTTGCCGTCCCATAATCAACAAACTGTGGGTTGTGGTGTAGCTGTAGGCTTTGGTCACTAACAGCATCACCGGCTGTGAAGGAAAACATCAGGCCGAATGTTTGTTTGTTTAGTCGTGCAATGTAGTTTAGGTTCAAATAAAAAAAAATAAAAAAGTAATAAAAAACTGGAATTCAATCAGAGAATAACTAGTGGTCATGGGCGTCCATCACAACAGCAGTGCAATTTCAACATCAAACAGTGAATCCACTCAGGAGGAAACTTAATTTGCCACATTTAATCACAGCAGCAAAAAAAGGGAAAAGACACCTGTTGGTCTGCAAGTGTACTACAATAGAAGTATTTTTCTGAGTTCATTAACGGGCTGAATACTACACAGTGATAAAACCATAGCATTGTACTTCATTTGTCTGGAACCTTAAAACGTGTGTTCCTTCTATGGCTGATCCATGTGCACACACTCTCACACACACTCTCTCTCACACACACAGTTCCCAGACAGATGTAGTGACACATGGACACAGAAAACCTCATGTCTCCCCCTAGTGGTGTGTACAGTGGATGTTCTTGACACCTCAGGACAGTGACAAAGGGAATAAACCACCTTTCCTTCAGGTCACTCTTTGCTCCCTCTCTCTGGCTCCTCTTCCGCGGTAACTCCCCCTTCTCCTTGGAACAGCTCCTCCATCAGCTGTTCTCCTGCACTTCCAGCCCGCGACGCCCACAGAGCGGCGCCCTCCCGCAGGCCCAGTGAGCGCAGCAGCCGTGCATAGTCCAAAAATGCAGCCTCAATGAGTTTATGTGCAAATGCAGGTCAAGGAGTGTTATCAGTTAACAAACACAGATTTTACATCTCATACAGTTTAGGAGAGGGGCCTCAAACCCATGTGATCTGGGGGACACAGCTGAGGTAAGAGAGGAAAGATTTTGTCATATTATTTTAACTTAAAGTAAAGTACTCTAAGTATGACTTTCATTAGCATTGAACTGATTTTGTTATTCGTTAGCTTTGACCTGTCTTAAATTGGTGTGAAAATATGTTTTTTATCTAATATATTTGTCTTCCATGATATGTTTCTAAAATTCCGGGGTGTGTGAAAACTGTGTACCACGTGTTGTTTTTGTTTTTGTTCTGCACTATGTTTTTAGGCGTTCCCTTTGAAATACAGTCTGCTGTGGTCAAGTCCCTGTAAATCAATAATGACTCAGTGGCTCTGGGCCAATTCTGACCAGTCAAGTACCTGAAGGGCAAGTGTTGGTACGTGTAAGTGTACGCCCGGTGATTTACAACAACTTCATAGATTTTTTTTTTTCTTTCAGTAGGTGAAGAACTATAAAGTTAATTCCTCACTGTAATGAGAAGTCAATGAGATGACGGCCATTAGGCCACTTTGACTCTGTGTGTTTTTCTTTTAAGCCTTAAACACATTTACAGCTGCCGACAATAAATAAAAACACACCCTGTGATTAACTGTGACAACACACAGACTGAGAGCAGATGCTGAATCTGCTGGTTTCATATAATTGGACACCTGGACGGCAGAGGTACATCTTGACATTGTAGTTTTTTTTTCTTTTTTATGGATTTGAGGCAGAACTGAGCTACATAACAAAAAAGTGACAGTGAAAATCAGGAAAATGTGGAGTGCTGCTCTATCTGCTCCGTTTAATTTGACCTCTGTTGTAATAGTAGCTCTCTGCAATTACACCCCCAATCTGCAGCATGAATGGCCAGAGTTAGCATCAGGGCATAAATTGCCCTCAAGCGTAGAGTCGTTGTTGTACAAAAAGGATATTGGAAGAGTCATTGGCCTCCATCACCCCATACTTCAGACAGGCTTCGACAAAGAGTGCTGCACGATCAAACTGCCTCATGCTGGAAAGGAGATGGAAGGAAGGAGGGAGGGAGGGAGGGAAGGTGAGAGAGAAAGAAAAGGCAGGAGGAGGAGAAGGAGGTGAGTTCATGTCAAACATTAATAAGTATCTGCCTGCTCTGGAAACAAAAATCAAATATCATTTGTAAATCAGATTTATCATGAAACATTCACGGTTTGTAAAATCCAAACATAAGCTGCAGCTTCATTTCCATTGATAGTTTGAAAGTGTTTTTTGGAAAAACAAGAAAATTTTGCACTGTGAAAATACTGTGGAAAAACGAGGAGCAGAAAAATAATTACTGCAGTTATGTGCTGTGGTACAAAAGCAGAAAACATGTTTGTGAATCTGCATATTTATCTGCACACGTCTGTTTGCAGACTCAATTAGAGACAAAAAAATTCAGTCATTTTCATTTCATTTTAGGTAGAAAAAAATAAACACTTTTCCAAGGTTTGTGAAAAATAACTGTTTGAGTTCTCACCTGTGAAGCATCTCTCCCACTCTGTAGAAGCAGCCCAGGGAGAGCAGCACCAGGATGGCTTTGGACTTTTGGTTGACCTGTGGGGAGCACAGATGTTCTGCCCAGCGCTTCAGTACATCTGAGCTCTCTGCTGGGTTCAGACGCACCTGGATTCACATTCAACAAGCAGAGTATGTTAATGTGCAGCTGCTTTTTAGAGATGAACTCTGGCATTAAATGTTATTTATTTACTTTTTTTTTAAATCCACTCTCTCTTCCGTGGAGAAAATATCAAAACTCATGCACAGATTAAGTACGTGCACATTTAGCATCAGCTGCCACACATCTCACATACGCAGCGACTCAGTCAGTGTCCAAACATTAGACAGTGTCTGATGTTTCCGGATGATGGATGATGACATGCTGAGTTACCTTAGCCAGCCAGGCGGCTCGGGTCCACGCTCCGTAGGTCTGCAGGTAGCGGCAAGCATCAGCTGCCTTGTCAATCAAACAGAGCAGCTGCACACCCTCTGAGAACCAACACAGGAGAGAGTGTCAGAGTGACATTACAAAAATGATGGCCTAATACGACCGATGTTGTCTTATTATTTTTTGGTGGTGACTATTTCTGAAAACATCATGAAATAAGTTTTTCTTGAATGTTATTTGAGGAGAAATCACAGGACGAGGACTAAACAACTGGAGCTTTAAGAGAAACACTTATCAGTGTCTCTAATTGGCAAAAAGACTACAATTTGCTTTGGAGCTCTGACTCTGACTCTGGAGAAACAGAAATGGAAAGAGGTCAAGTGGATGGATGAGTTTAGATCGGCCAGGCTCCAGAGTGATGGTCCAATCAGGACAGAAGAGGGGAGGACAAAGTAAAGCATCTGTCAGGCTTCAGACATTACAGTATCTGAGATGGTTTCAGGCAGTTTTACTACATTTTACTGCTCTCTGTTAATTTACCTAAATAGTACAGATGAATAAATGTCTGATTCCATCTAACTGTTATATACTGTTGATTGTAACATTAGAAAAGGTAAAAAAAAAAGAAAATATGGTCACAACATTTTTTGCACTAAATGCTTTAAAGCATGTTTGTTCCTGTACAGTTTCTGACTCCAATCACGTCAGTTTGTCAGACTGCCAGTAGGAGCTCCCAGAGCTGCTGTTCTACAGGTTATTACCAACCTCCCTCATAGATCTTTGTAAAACCAGGAAGAAATCCCATCATGATGTCACCACTAATAAACCAGAGTCGACAGTGTATACAGTCGTGACAAGTAAAGCAATGTCTTATTATACATGAAAATAATAACATTCTGAGCCAAAAGGCCAAAGGTGGTCAAACACACAAACTGCAATAAATTACTTAGAAAATTTCAGGCTCAATTTCAAAACATCGCCATCACCATTTAGGAGCCCGTCCATCTGGACACAGGTGATCATCAGTAAAGGTGATTTAAAGTTGATTATTATGGACTTTTAACAGCGTTACACAGAGTGCTCTGCATTTTAAGGTTCTTGTGATACACCAGCCACCTCACATACAGGTGTGCTGAGAATGAGAAGATGTTTGGCTGACAGAGATATTTTTTGCAGGGCTTTATTAGACAAAATTGTGTTTGCATCAAGATATCAATGTTTTTCAGACTTGTGGCAGAAGTTCTAATTGATTTTTTATTGAAAAAAAAACATTCTTTATTTCTTTTTTCTTCTGAGTCAAAAGATAATTGGAGTGGTTATGGTTCAATGACAGACACAGCGTTCGTTGTGTGTTTGATGAGTCACTTTCCTGCTGCAGGAACTAGTATCAATACCAATAGTGATGTAGTGATGTCACCGTACTGCAACAAATGAACACAGCAGCAACAAAAACATGGGAGTTTGGGATCGAACGAGTCACACATGAGAATATGAACAGAATATCACAACACAAGTACAAATACCTGCTAGCTTCCCATTAGCGATCATGTTGGTGGCCACTAATTTAATGGTGGACTGTGAGGGTCCAGAGGAGGTGATGGTGGTCACTAAACAGGCCTTGAGTGAGTCACAGTAGTAGCTGGGGTTGTCTGCGCTTGTTTCCAACAGTAACTGCACAGCTCTATCAGTCTGAAAGCAACAACAAACACAAACAAGGCACTGTGAAGCTGAAACACAACGTCCAATTTGAAGAAAGAAAATCTGGTCAAATTATCCTTGTTTTTATCCAGTGATGACGATGATGATGATGGCTTAAAATCACTATGGGATCAGGCCTGGCTAATGGAGGACAGAATCTCCGAATACACAGCCTTCTGATTGCTGCCTGTAATTACAGGGGGGAGTTATGACATTGAGAGGTGAGAGGATACAGGCCACAGAGGCTGAGACAGAGAAAACAGAGCACTAACTGTCCATCTTGGTTCATTAGGCTCCGGAGCACCGCTATGGCTCTTTTACAATTATGTACGCAGAACTAAGAGGTGTGAAAATCCATGTGTGGCAAAGAGAGAAGTTAATGAAAGATGAATGTGTAGAACACTATAAAAAGGATGGACCTGTATGGAAAACAAATGAGGAGTTAAAATGTTATACTACGCCAGCCGCAAAGATGTGATGTACACATCATAAAAAAAACAACAACAGTTAAAAACGTCTTTGTAGTACAAGTTGTATCCTTAAAATTCCCATTTTGTGTAGTGGACTTGGACAGGAAAATGACATGTATTCTGTACAAATCAGAAGGAATGCTGAAATATTCATTCTTATTTACCCCCCTGTGCAGTGGACAGTGTTTCGTGGAGAGTATTAAAGCTGTTGGAGAGTTGGTGAAGTACCTACCTGACCCAGCAGGAGGAGCTGGTCAGCACATTTCTTGGTGTGCTCATAGCTGGAGCGCTTCACCTCCTGCAGGTGAACTCGATCCAACTGGAACTTCTGTTGAGCAGAGGGAGGGTGGTGTTAGGGTTATTTCTGTTAGAAATGATGAATAGTTAGAGCGTGTGTTTCCCCCCCTTTGTTGTGTGTGTGTGTATGTGTGTCCGCTGAACAGATTGCACTTGAAAACATAATAACATCTAATAAATATAAATCAAATATTCATGAGATTTCAGCCATTATCTCTCATTCAGCGTCAGCCTCCACTGTCTCCCTGACAGTACATCAAAGGTCTTGGGTTTTACAGTGGAGGATAAAAAATAAATAAATAAAATTACAGATGCTTTAAAACAGCTTCAGTTTGAGAGGAAACTATGGGAGAGATGACACTGAAGTGAATTCTCCAATCAATCCATTCATCACTCTTCACAAGCTATGACATTATTGAGCTCATCTAAAATGAAACTCTTCTGTGTATCAGTTGGCCACATAAATCCTTACAGATACTAATTAGTCCAGTCATTTTACTACTTTGTCTACTCTCTTTTGGTGAGAGAACCAAACCCAATAGAACAACGGGACAGATTCAACTCCTTATTGATCGTCTTATCAATTATTAGTGGGTTAGAAAACAGTATTATATGGATTATGTGCCATTTGATTAACAATAAAAAATAAATTCCTTTTATTCCTAGCAACTGGGTCACTTTTTAAAATGCCTCAAATTTATTAAAACTCTTCATTCTTATATAAACAGAAACTCCTTAAAAGCAGTCTATCTTGGTACCCATGAAACCAAACAAAAAAGTATTGATTGTCTTCACATGCCCAGTGGGGCAATTTGTTTTTTTAATTACCATCCATAGGTTTTCTTTCTGAAGTCAAGTCCAAAGAACTATTCTGAAGCCCAACATAAAAAGACAGTGTACATTGACCACAAAAAAAATAACCTTTTCACTCTCACTGGGGAGGTTTTCAGACGGATGTCTATTCAGTGTGGCTGCCATTCCTTGCAGTGGAATTTGTGAAGACACAGTAGAGGACCAATCAATAGGCGCCTTCTGAAGAAAGTTTTCTAACGAGAGTCTTCTCTTCAGAGAGAGGGATCGATAATTAAAGTTAGAAAAAGAGAGGATTTGGTTTATTGTTTGCAAAGACTTTGGATCTCATTTCAGCTATGTCATCAGCGGGAAGCATCGATTTGAGCAATGATATTGAACAAACACTGAGGGGACTTTTATTTAATGTCCTGGTGGAGGCAGAAAACATTGAAGAGAAAATGTTGAGGGAATCAAATGAAGTGTAGATTGATGTGCTTGATGGGTTTTGACCTCTGTGGCTTAAAAAGCGAGATATTCTCCTGAAGACCAGAGCTTACTGAGACAACAGAGAAGACGCACAATGTCATTAATGTGCAGTGAGAGCAGGATGTTGATTCAGAGGATTAAACAGAGATGAGTTCACCAACGGGGCACCGAATGTCTCTGAATGCCTCTTAAGGGAACTTTTTAAAAAACATCAACAGCTGCGACGGGCATTATTCTCTGCAATCTTTCCTTCCAGTGACAGAAAGGAAGCTGAAAAAGGTCCCCCCTCTCCTCTTGTTTTACTCACCTGGAAGTAAGTGCTCTCACACAGGATGTCATGGCAGATGTCCAGGTGGTTCTGTGGGGTTTGGGTTGCTTCAATTTGGGTCTGACCATCTGCGGTAGAAACACTGAGCTGACGAGCTTGGGCGAACGACTGGAGGTAGTGGGACGCCACTGTCCAGAACTGCAGGTCTGACTCATCCCCAAACAGCCTGTGGTTTAACAAAGCAACATGTTGACTGGTGACAGAGGCGATAACACCGCTGCTGCTGCTGGAGTCTTTATTCAAATGGCACAGTCTGACATAACATGCAGCTTAGTTTTCTAAAGTAATCTTCACACTAATGACCATAGACCCTTTATCTCTCAGCCCACGCACTACCCTGCTCCAACATCAACTGCTGTTCCTTAAGTTGCTTACATCCATCAGCCTGCTTTTAACACGTCTGCCAAGACACACAGCTGTTGCCTAGTTACCTCGCTGCAGTAACTACAGCATTAAAACCCCGGGCCTGGTTAGTTTTCCAGGTTTTTCCTGTGTTTCTCCTCTTGTTATCAGTCTAATCATTAATAATAACAGCAGTGTTCTAAAACTCTGCTCACACTCTTGGTTCAGATTTGTCACTTACTCAAGGGGAATGGAAATTAATACCTTGTTGACATCAGAGTTGCTGACACCAGCTCTGTCAAAATAGCTCTGGTATGAAGGTTATTATTATGTTATTGTATTAGGTTATTACAGAGATATCACAAAACAAAAATGCCATTTTTGGGGGCTTAGAGATTTATAGTTTTTACAGCTACATCTGACAGCTACATCTGACATTGAATTTTCCAAACAAACCGGTTCACGAACAGAATTTTGAACTCAAAATTGTTTTGGCAATTACATGTGCCAATGCAACATATTGTGGTCAATCAGACGCCAATCAAACAAATAACTGTACTTTGTTAGTTTCTGGGTCAGACTGGCCAAAACACTTTTTTAAACTGCCACTAATGTTAAATGATATGACACACCTTTGTGCTTTTTTCAACATAATTGGATTATTTTTTAAATAATTCAAGGAAAACAGTCCCAGAAGTAGGCCAAGTCATGAGAGAATTCATGGAAAAATGCTTCTTTTTTGTAGCGATAACAACACAATGGACGATCAGGAAATATTAATGTTTACTGTCCACAAAAGTAGAGCTAAAACCCCATCAAAAGCTTTTGGTCGATCACTGGCCTGATTAGGCTGCACTTCTGCTGTCAAATATAATGGAAGAAACAAATGCTTGTTGTTGCCTGTCGTTAGAATTTCTTTCACCACTGCTCAACTCTTTCACGGTTTCCCATCAGTCTTTGGTCAAGAAGTGCCTCGAATACTTTTATTCCTATTTCAGTGTGAGGGAGAGTAATAAAAGAGCCAACACTGCAATGTATGTCCACAAACACAAACACACACACACACACTGAGGTTTGAGGTGCTGTATTTGTTGTACACCCTACAGGCTGTTACAGGGGTTAAAAAGGAACCAAGGGGAAAAACAAACACTGGCTGTGAGATTTACTGTAATAGCCTTTTCCATTGGGTTCACCATGGTAAAAAAAAAAGGTGGACAGGTTGATTTCACTAGGGAACCACTAATAGTTACAAGAGGGAGTGAAACTGAGCTTGTGTTTTCAGTTTTTCACAACACTGAACTGTCTTCGTATATGTCTCCAAAACTAGGTGTAATTCTCTAAATCAGAGTAAAACACATGTATTTTTGTTGAATGATGTCAAGTGCATTGTTATGTGTAGCCAGTAAGACCCTGACAGGCAGTGGTGAGGGTGGAGAAGTACGACCATGTCCATTAATGACAAGACATATTTAAAAGATACATTTATTAAGTTCACATTTAAATATAGTTTGGCTGATTTGCTAAGAGTAAGTAGAGTGCATTGTTTCTTGTGAGAAATTACAGATAAATGTGTCAACTTGAAGCAAGATCATCATTGAAGTCTTCTTTCTGACTTCAGGCAAATGATGTTAACAAAATAATTGTGCTGTCAGGGACAAGACAAATTCCCTTAAAGAGTGTTTGCAGACTGCCAATTGTGTGAGTGAACTCTGGGTTGACTCACCTTGAGATCAGGAGACATCGCTGCAAAAGACTCAACTCTGGGTCCTGAAGTACACATTTCATATCACTGCGAAGTAAAACATAATCAGAACACAGAAAAAGACAATCAGTTTCTTAAACATTCCAAGCAGATCGTGGAAATCCTTTTATCTGCTAACCAACAGACAACATGCTCTTTAGGCCAATTGTCTAAATACGAAGCGGAGGAGGGAGCACACAGACAACTGACAAACATTGCAGCAGACGTCTCTGTTGTTTACTGCATTTAAAGTTAAACATTCCTATTCAAAAAAAGGGTGCACATAACCTCTAAAAAACAAAGAATTAGTTTTTTCATAACTCACTTGGACAAGGAGTTGAGCTGCTCCTGGATCAGGCCTTTGATCTCCTCTTTTTCACTGTAGTCTCTGAAACCAAGGAATTAAACTTAGTCAAATTGCTTCTTTCACACCCCCTTCAAGTACTGTAAAACCTGACCTGATATTAATGGGAGGCTGAGAGCCTGCTTGTTAAGAGAGAACCATGTGTAGTGTCAGGCAGTAATAGATGGCTCTATTCCAGCATTTATGCTGAGGTCAGGTAGCACCTTCCCGACTGCTGCTAATAAAGCAGGCTGACTCACAATAAAGCAGTGGTGTGTGGTTAATGAAAAGCAGCAGGGTAACATGGGGCTCTGTTAAGTGGGGCATTCTTACACCAGGACATTAATTAAGGAGGCTGACCTGTAGCTGCCTGAAAAAAATAAAAGTGATAAATATAAAACTTTGGTCAAACTAGTCGTACGTTGACCTGTTTACAAAAGCGTTTTAATGAATACATGGGTGATTTAACACGTGTTGTGCTAGATAAATGAGACAAACGCCTACTGACACATGGTTTATATATTTTTAACCTAAATTACTTATGATCTACCAGCGATCACTTTGTGATCTACAGGTAGATCCCAACCTACTTACTGGGCACTTGTATTGAATCAAGTGCTCACTAATATGATTACCAGGGCATTTTGTTACCATAGTAATGGTATAGTACTAGTACTACTACTACTACTACTAATTATTATTATAAACATGATATATTTCATATTTGTCTCTGCAATACTGTTAATATAAAAATAATTTTGCCAGGACAATAGAACTTTAAATATTTATATGTACCACCCCCTAAATCTTTATTTATTTATTTATTTATTATTATTATTATTTATAATTGCAGAATTGACACTAACAATAGGTCCTAGTGTGGTTAAGTGTTTGTTTTCCATTTCCAGACGGAGCGAAGCGGTCCATAAGCTAAACATTGAAAGTTCCAGAGCATTTTAATTAAAATAGACTGCGCCCACTCGCTGATGCAGACAGTGAGAACATGAATTATTGAAGCTACTGCACTTTTGATGTGCTGCACTACTAACTTTTAGATCGCTTAGGGATAGACATCAAAATGCCCAACGTCACCATTTCAAGCTCGACAAAAAACTCAAAAGTAAGTCTTACACTTGAGTGATGTCCATGGTGAAGGTTCCAGACCAGGGCTGCAAGAGAAGGAAAGCCTTGAGAGTAAGGGCAGCTCTGGGCAGCAGGAGGTACGGACACCACACAGGATCTGAACACAAAAAGACATTTAGGTGAAAAAAACAACTATCACAAAGCCAGTTAAGCAGTGATATTTGGAGGTCACTCATTCATTTAAACGTCATATAACAGGAAAATACATGTATTATTTTTTTCCTAACAAACAAAATTATGCTTACTAAACGAAATGTTATGAAATGAATAAAACCAAAAGTGTTTGAACAAACAATGTAACAGTTCTAGACTAACTAAGTAACTTTCACACATTAGAAATACAGAAATTCAAGTCACCCATGAATTGTCACAGAAATGGCAATAAAACTTCCATGGGGAAAGCTCTAAATCCTCAACCTCTCCAACCCTCAGTCACAGTTCTTTGTAGCTACTGTGGACTTCTGCTTTGTGCTTTAGATCTTTTTGAATCAGGTTTGGAGCAGTGAGGCTGACACTCAGTTCATTTCCACTATCCAGCTTTGATCTGTACTTTGTCTTCATCTTCCCACCTCCCTCCCCTGCACCTCTGACTTTGGGAACCAATGTCTTAAGACATGCAAAGGGGTAGTCATGCATCAGGTTTGTGTGAAAAAGCTGATTGATTCTTCCAGATGTTAGATTGTACATGCCAAAAATGAGCAAGACAAATTTGGCTATTACGGAAAAGAACTTGACGGTATGGCAATGAATCAAAAGGAAGGGCAAGGAGAGTGTGTGTGTGTGTGTGTGTGTGTGTGGGGGGGGGTATACAACACAAAAAAAAATATATATATATATATATATATACACAGTACATATATGTTTCTAAATTAGTTAAATTATTTCTAAATGCTTTACAGCCAATAAAGCTTTAAACCCATTACAACATTTTCTGTTCTCAAGCTTTGTGTGTTATTTCCTAGTGATTCATCTCTCACCAGTAAGGTCTTGTTCATCCATGCGGTAGCTGGCAGACTTCATGGCCATCTCCAGCACCCGGATACAGCCATCGTCAGAGGCCAAAACGACCTTGTCTGACGTGCACCAGTCAATATCTAATATGCGGTAGTTCATGGTTCGACCCATGCGTGTGCTGCTGACCATCTGAACCTACAGGAGACAAAAACCAGGGCTGATTGGTACCAACAGTCACCTGAGAGCTTCATTAGCAGGATCTACAATTACTCTGGGAAAAGGGAATGTGGGAAAAAGTGTAAAGGGTGAAACACAGGAGTACAGGAAGTGGTCACTGAAAGATGGCTGTAACATTCTTGAACTGTAAACGTGCTGACGTGGACATCAGGACATACAACTGAAGACTCGGTGGACTAACTACCTTTCCTCAAAGTGTTCCCAACCCCACTCTGGGAAATTTATACTGCTGTATGGGAGCAGCACCTAGCTGTCAGCAGAGCACTGAAGCATTTCAGAAATCTCTCTTGCACCCCTGCTCCCCCTCTCCTTTTCTTCCCCTCTCCCCTGCTCCATAGCTGTTGCCTGATCCATCTGTTGTCTGCATTTTACGACTGGGGACCAAAAACTAGGCTTTATCTCAGCTCCTGTTACGGCAGCACATCTCTCCATCAAAGAATCAGGGCTCCATTGGGACTATCTCCATCCACCCATACTGCCTTACCCACATTCATCTGTTCTCCAGTTTTAAACTCTATGCCTGTCATGGTGTTAAAAAGGGAAAACTAAACAAAAAACCATTAAAGGAAAAGTTAAAACAGAGAATTCTTGGTTCTATATTTTCTAGATTTTATGTCCCACTGTAGTATAGTTGATTCATTTACAAAAATGGCCTAATTACCATTACCATTATTTCTTCTCTAGTGATTACAAATGTAGATCCCTCTGTTCCTGTTGTTTAGTAACCTCATGTTAGGCATGTAATAGCATTGTGCGTTTACTCTGCTGTCAGTTTTCCTGCAATTAAATTGCTTAAAAAAAACTCAATATAGTGTCATGCTTATACTATCGTATCATTATACGTATCTATCATCAGATTCTTGTAAACACACATCCCTACTTAGCATGTGTACATCTTACATTAAAACATAATGATCTTTAAAAACACCAAAAGATTTATCACATTACTACCGTAGTGTTAAAGGAAGAGAATTACACTAGATTACCTTGGTGATTCAGAGATTACAGTACTGTGAAAACTCATATTTAGCAGAGTAAATCTGTTTTGACTACAGACGGCTACAGCCTAGTTAGCTTTATTTGAGTTCTGCAGTTTGGCACAGAGGTGAGGATTGGTGTAAATTAATAGCATTCTCAAAACACATTCTCTCCTCTTAATTGTTAGAGCCTTTTACTCAGATAACGACATTAAATATAAAACCACCAATGTGCTGGTGCACAGATCGTCACCTCTTTAGTGTCCCAGACTTCTGCCCCGTCCGTGTACATGACCAGAAGTTTCTGGTTGCCCTTTCCTGGTGCAAAGCGGATCTTCTTCACCCAGCCACGATGTGTTGGTATTCCCCTAAAAAAAATGAAAAGAAAAAGTAATTTGGGATAAAAAGAGCTTGCTGGAATTGTACATCGCCAACAGCAATGTAAAGCTATTTATTATTTAGTACTTGATGAGAATAAGTCTCATGATTTGCTGATGCTTTACAATGTTCCGACCCCATTTTCTACAACCCTGCAGCAATTGATTCTGTCATTTTCCTGGTGTTAAGTATAACATGCTTTAATTTATAGTCAACCACACATTCTGATTATGTTTTTTTATCCTTTTTTTTTGACAAAACCTGGAAAATTAGCCTTTACCCTAAGTGATTCATCAAGCTAAAAAACATTACTCTATTTAGCTAAACTGTTAGATGGGTGAAATGGGGCTGAAGTACTAAGCTATGCATGTAGATGTGAGTAAAATGCAGTGCTGTCGATGGCAGGGGACGCTTCACACCTACAGCACCAGTTGCACCAGTGGACAAAGCTCAGACAAGGAATTCAGACAGTGGATTTGTGTTGTGATTTTACTGGGTTTGTTCAGAATTAATGATCCAGTACTGCTTGGGGCAGCAGAGCTGAGGTGTTCAAATTTAGTTGTATATATTTTATTATTTCAAAATAATCACATATTAAACCAATCATTGGTCACCTGGACAAACGAGCTTTCAGATCCCAGAAGTTAAGATTTCCATCAACATCTCCAAGTACCAGGGTGTCACCTTTCCAGGCAATGCAGGCGATACTGCCCATACTGCCCTGCAGCACAGAGAGACACAAAGACTAATTTAATAGAAAAATGGAATAATAAACATTAATTTGTGCAAACCATTAAGATAATTAAATAAAAAACAACAATGAAACAGGAAAAAAAAGTAAATATGGGTTTGGCTTAATTTAAGCAGCCCACGGTCGGCTTTCATTTGGTATAAAAGATGACTAATAGAGTTATGGCAACCTCATAACCATGACCTTCATCACTGAGAGGATTTTTCTATGTTTGTGCAGAACAAAGGCTTTGAAATCCAGAGGTAACTCAAGTGTCTGGGTTCAAGGAAAACATACAGTTTCACAGTTGAAATTGATTAAAAAAATGACTTCAGCAGTTTTAAGAAATATTTCTCAACATTAATAACCAGGAACATCGGTTCAAACCAACAGCTTCTTTTAAAAAGGCAATTCAACAGAGCAACATAACAGTGGACAAATTTGTTACGGGATGTAAAAAATGTAAAGCAACACAATTAAAAGCAAATTCAGAGAAAATGAATAGCTCACAGGAGCAGTTTCCTTAACCCTGAGTCATTGACACACATTGACACACACAGACACACACAGACACACACACTAGCTGATGCAGGTGCAGTTAAACACTTTAAATCATTTTCTCTTGGAGGTTGACAAAGAAGAAATACAGCCGTAGAGCTGAGCTGGACCTTTATATATATATTTTGTTATAAAGCCACCATCTATATAATGCTGAGTATAAGTCCAAGAAAGACAAAACTATTGAAAGCTGTGGCTGAGGAAAACAAGTGATGACTTTTACTTTGAGATTGTTCAGAAGCTGCAACCAAGTAGAATTGTTTCTTTGTGCTGAGTAAAGAAGAACAACACTGCAACAGTGCAGTGTGATGAGACAAACCTGTTTAGGTTTTCTTTGTGACTTAATATTGTGAAGTAATCTTACATACAAAAAACTGAACACAACAATGCTTGGACAGTACAAAGAGTGACATTACACTCACATCAGGGGGAATTCGAGCGCCATCTTTAACTGTGTTGCCCTCTACGGTGATGTGGTAGACTTGTCCGTCGGTGTCAGTGAAAACAAAATGCTCCCTCGCTGAAATGGCCTGACTGGTTTCTGACTTGCTCTCTGCATCCTGCAGAAGACTGTTACAGGCAAACCACAGTGTTAAGCAGATTTTCAAGATGACACAATATTGTTTTAACCCCCAGAGTAAAAAACATCAGGTTCAGTCATAGGATTGGTGGACGTTAGTCATTACAGTCATCCAATGGCTGAAGCTTTGGTACATTTTATCACATAGCTAATGGCCCACAAGTACTGTCATCATGGAAAAACAGAGGCATATATAATTCAACACACATTGTCATTGACACCTAGTCTGATATAGTAACGTTCTAAAACAGACTGGGTTTAAGAAGAGCCTCCAGTATTATAGTCATGGTGGTTTTAATGCTGACCTGATGACTGATGATTCAACACTACTCTGCTCGGGGTCTGAGACCGTCTGCCGAGCCATGGCTTCCCTTGCTGCCATTTGCTTCTTCTTCAGACTCTTCAGGTTGTGGGATGGTGACCACTCCTGTTTACACAGACACACACGGGGCTGACATTACCCACTGCTAATGGAGCAGATTCAATCACATTTGCTAACCTAACACACCTTCATACAGACAGATGGCACGGAGAGAAATTGATTTGCATTTACAGCAGATGATTGGAGAAATGAAAGGAGAGTGCACGCGCCGTTTCCCTCCAAATCCTAAATGGCCCCAACACTATGGCTAGACTGGTTAACTCAAGGTTGTAATCAATATGGAAATGAGGCAGCATGTATTATTAAGGTTACTGGCATTTTTATACAGCTTGTGCAGGATTTTACTGCCCCGCTGTGAAGTTTGCCTGACATAACTCTTTTTTTATGAGTATTCCTCTGGTCTAATGAAGCAACTGTTCTTTGCTGAGCTTGGGGAAAAAATCAAGACCAATCTTTCTAATGGTGCACAGAAAAGAGGTCAACAGATAAAAGACACAATTAGAAAAGTGAAAAAGTTGTCACCCTCCATGCTGTGTCTGGGTGAAACACTTCTGTAAATTCGGTGATATGCAGGTGTGGAGAGACATTTAGATTATTGGGAGTAATGAATTAACTGTACCAGAGCAGTAACTGTGGGGAAGTTCTTTGCCATCTCCCGCAGGAGTGTCCCCGTTCTGATGTCCCAGAGCTCCAGGGGTTTGTCTCTGAAGACCACCACCAGATACTGTCTGCAGATGGACAAAACAAAAAACTCATCTTAGATCAGTGTTTTACAGTTTTTGCATCACATACTGTAAACATAATTACTATTTTATATCATGCCTAGCGATGGCTCAATCCGATACTCAGGATTGTTATGGTCAAAATTTCAGGATCAAACAACGATCCAACACCTAAGCCCAAAAGCTCAACTTAACTTTGTGCAAAATGCCATAAACAAGGACACTATCACCGCCTTCGCCATGCTGGAGGAGAAAAGAAGGTATTGGAACGATATCGGTATCGGCAGACACTCCAAGTTACAGTGTCAGTATCTGACATGAAAAAGTTGTATCGATCATCCCTAATTGTGCTCTTTCATTTTTATTCATATATACACTGTATGGAGAATATATACTTTGTTTAGGGGAGTAATGACCAGAATGAAATAGTATGCAAACTAGTGAAACAAACAAACAAACAAAAAAAACAAAAACATAAAGAAATAAAACTTTTTATTCTTTTTATGGGGCAGGTACCAAATGAGCCATGGCCCTGTACTGGTCCACAAATATGAAAGTGAAATGGCGTGGAACACATTAGTGTTTCTGCAACTGAAATTTTGAAATGAGGACGAAGATACTTCAGAAAACGTGGCTGAAAAAGTGATGACTATCAAACGACTGCATTTATCAGCAGAAATGGTGGAAAACTGTTCACTTGGGTGATTATGTGTATAGATTCTATCTTGGAATGTTTTTAATTTTTTGAAATTGTTTATCCTGTGTATCCCACACGTCTCTAAATAATGTAGGATGTTTGTTTAAACAGTGTGTTAAATTGTCCCTGCTCTGTATAGGTTAATCTAAGCTTCTATAATACTTAAAAAGGAGAAATGTATTTTCTCTCATTAGCGCTTAAAAATAAATATCACATCCTGTTTAAAATGTGGCAATCACAGATGAATTGAAACCCAACTAAAAATACACAAAGAAAATTCTTGTGAAGTGAAAATGATTTTGCTGTAACATTTAGTATTTGTTATTTTAGAATTTTATTCCAGGATTAAAATAGACGAACAGGGCTGAATGAAGGTAAGTGGGAGAAAGGGTGAGGTGGCTGCAGGCGAAAAGACTGTGTGGGTGTACATTTTTTATATGGTGTGAATTTATTGATGGTGTTAGCATGTTGCCAAGGTAAAAGTATAAGATATGTGTGAAGGTGGTGTTTTTGTTTGCTGGTAGTGGTAGAAACAGGCGACTCACTTGAGGTGGGACACTTTAATCATCTCAATAGGTGGCTCATCATTCCCCCTCTCACCTCTGAATGCAAAGCACCTGCCTGGAAAACAGAACAGACAAAGATGGAGGGAGACAGAGAAAAGGAGGGGGAGGGACAGATGGGAGTAGTGGGGTGTGCAGTGATGGAAGTGTCTTTCTTTAAACCTGCAGAAAGACTGATCTACTTGAGTTGAGATGCATCCAGATTTCCTCATTTTATTTTATCACAGCAGAAAAAAAACCACAGCACCACCTGCTCTGAACCCTGCTATTCATTCCCAGCTCGCCAAGCAGTACGGCAAGTAATATGCAAAATCTCAAGGTGCCCCTTTAAACAAAACAAGAACGTCCTTCAGATGCATCGTATCATGTTTGCCTCAGGAAGTGCTGATCTGCGTTTGTGCTGCACACATTTAAGTTTCCAAGTAAGAGCCGTATGATGGATTGGGAAACAGCAGCACCCTTTCCTCCATTTTTCTTTTTGTGTTGCTGCACTCATACACAGTGAAAGTACTGTAGGTGTGTGTCCTGATTACAGTGACAAGTGACAATCATGGTAATAAGCTGTCCAGCCTCTTCATCAAGACATTCCAAACTGCTTCAGCCTGTGAGGTGACTCAACATGCAGCCTGTTGAATCAGGAGTTAGTCTTATCACTTGTCAGTGGGAAACACTTCAGACTGAGAGGAGATTCAGATACTCTTTAGTTTTGACTGAAAGTTTAGTCAACTACGTCACCCTCTCTGTTGTTATTATCTGAGTTGAGATATAAACCAGATTCCTTTCCAATGTTTCAAAACCACAGTACATATATATTTTACTACCCTGACAGAGTGAAAACTGTGTCAAAAGCACAAAGATAAAATGTTTTGTGCACATGAAAATGCTCACTCAAAATACACATATTTTCCAAGGCACATTACAAGACATTTGAGCACACCTCTGGTCTATCCCAATATATTTCATTTCCTCTTTAAAGCTACATGGAGATACTTAGTTATTATCCAGATTTAGAACGACACTCTTCAAAGATGTCATTTAAATCTGCAGGGAAAAGAAAACTATAACTGCAGATCAGTGGTGGAACGTTCCAGTGTGTGTAACAAAGCCTGTTGCTGTGGGCTGTTAACTTTGATGGCTCCTGTGATTACAAGACTCTCTTAAAAAGTTACTTACGCTTGCCTTGAATGCAAATGGTATAAAGGCTAAGTGACCAAATTATTGGTGCAGAAGTAGAATTCATACATGTATTAACAAGTTTTAACACATGGAAAAATGCTAATACACAGGTTGCTTTTTGCGTACACTGTGGGGAAAAAGTAAATCTCAGAGTCAGGCATGAGGGGCATCAACTTCAGGTGAGAGGCCTGGCTTGGGTCAAACCACCCACAGCCACAATGAGTACAGGTCAGTAAGTCTACAGCTGACAGGCACAATCTACAGTTGTATCCAGTGCCAGGTCATTTTCCAATTTCCCTAAAAAGAGAACAACTGTGTGTTTCTAATCCTTGGAGGAGGTAGAACACATTCCTGTTGGTGCACTCGACTCATCAAGGGGGCTCAGTTAAAGTGTAAGTCACTCTGCAGGAGAGACTCGATAGAATCCCATTTTCAGAGTCTGGCATCCCTGGGTGGTACCATACCATAAAGAGTTCTTTAAGGTCTTTTCTTTTTTAGCAATCCAGCTGCACTGTCTTTAAAAAACCCTTTCATTTTGCCTTTTCTTTACTTATTGCATTGACTTAAATCCAACAGCTCTCACTCATCAAGTGTGTGATTCAAGATAACCTGTGAAATCAGAACTGTTACTTAGCAGCTTTAAAGTGTTCCATCATAAACAATTCCCTCTTTTTATTTTGCCTTTTGACTAGTAACCCCTGTGCTGACAAACAACAATGTTTCCTATGCCAAAGGAAACACATAGAGAGTTAAAAGGAAAACTGTATCACAGAGGCTCCGGAGTTGTGTGTGTGTGAATTATTTATTTAATTTCCTTGTTGTTTATTCTGCAGAGCCCACGGTGAAACATAAGGACAACAACAAAATGCTGCAACCTTCAAGCACAAGCGATCTTGTGTAATTGTATGTGTGTGTACAAATGTAAGGATGGCCTTACCAGTGGGCAGGTCAACATACTGCAGTTCATTTCGCACCAAGCCCATGTTATTGGGGGACGAAGTGGCAAAAGACAGGAAGCTGGTGAGACTCACCCATTCAATCCCCCTGGAGAGTAAAGACACACACAGACAGATGTACTCATAAATTCACATTCTGACACTTTTTTGCTAGATGTCGGTGACAGTAAATTTGACAAAGTCCCTTCAACGCATGATAGCCATGGTGAATCTGAAACTTTTTATAGGGTGTTGTAAAAATGGTGGAAAATCCTGTGAGCGAATGGGAGATATTAAAGTTCTTTGAAAATTGGGCACAGCTCAGGGACCACACACACATTTGGCTGTAATGAGATGGTAAATAGCCACATGATTAATTAGTCCATTTCCCCACTAAATGTAAATGAGATGCTAAACAGCCAGTTCTCTTTTGGCATGGCAGTGCGCGGGCTAGAACGGCTGGAATCATTTCCATAAGCACCTCTGCTTTTCTCACCACACAGAACACGCAGCTTAGATCTTGACGCCGTATGCTCTATGTCATCACTGCACTAGAAATAGCAGAGAACACAGTCTTCAGAGGAACATCTGATGTATGTGATAAAAGTGTGGTTGAGGGTGTTCATGTCTCAGTTACTGCTAATCTTTTATCTTTGTTGTCTACTTAATGACTGCATATTTAGAGCTAGTATTTCTTAACATACACAGCTAAATATTTGGTGACAAAATTATTTTTCAACGCATTGTGTGTGTGTTTGCGTGCGTGGGGAGGGATTCAAGGGGAGTAGGGGTTAGATATGAAATGCCTCATTTATTCCAAAGCTTGAGTAGCATTGAGTGATAGATGACAGGCCCTGGAGAGCATGGCTGTTGCATGTCATGTCTGCAGAACAAATCCATCGTGACACTGGGAGTGAGGCAGAGAGATCATTACCTAATCACTGCCTATAAACGAGAGGCGCATGCACGGGCAGCGCTATTGCAAGGCATTTCATGTGTCTCATGCTCTCGCACAGCTCATTAAAGTCTGTTGCAGTTTCACATTCGTGAACATCAACTTCTTTCATTAAGGAAAGCCAGGCTTCTCCTGCACAAATAGCATTTGCTTCCAATCAATCTCCTAACAACATTACTTGATTCAATCTCTTGCCTAATTAATCCTGAGAAATCAGTTTGCTGCTCATTGGGGAATACTAACTAATGAAGCACAGCCTGATGTTTGTTGTAACCTGGTTGTTGCATTGTGAGGCAGGGGTGTTGTGCCTACACCCTCTCTCAGTAGGGCCCCCACCTACACCATAATTAACCACACCATTGAATAGCAGCACAGCAGGACAGAGGAACTTATTTACAAACTGCCCTAAAACAAGGCAGAGTCAACTTAATCACACCATTACTACTGTCTCCTGACGACAGCATTCATCAGAAGGAACACAGCACCCTGACCGGAGCTACTAATGCCAAGCTAACTGTGGATTTTATACCTTGTAATTTCATGCTTACAAAACTAATATGTTGGGGCACAACACAATACATCACAAGACTGTCTGACAAATTGGACTCTTAGTTCTTAATTGAAAAGATTAATGTGAAAAAAAACAACCTTTTTTTAAACAAATCTGTTCTTTTAAGATAAATTCTAAATTTGGATTTTCTTTGTAATCCATTCCCATTTTCTGGAGTCAGACAATTTTCCGCTTGGTGCGCAATACTATTAAATCTAAGTGAAACACAAACAAAGATGAACGATAACCGTCCAAAACTCCCTCACTGAACTGTCCAAGCCCCCTCCACTCATCCCTGCTCCCACTCTCCCCCGTCTCCTACACAGTCTCACCAGACTGCATCCTGTCTCTGTCAAAATACCATCACCAATGTAGCCTGTTGTTACACCTGAGATTCACCGCTGTGTTAAATTGTTAAAATGTTATAGATGCTTGAATTATGTTTTTATTTGTATAATGTCTAAATAACTAAATAAAAGTTTTGTTCTCCACCTTAAAAATGGACGCTGACACGACCAGTGTTGGTTGGCAGTGTAACAGCCAAGCTGCGATGGAACAAAGGGCAATCCTCTCTCACTCCATTAATGGTTTTCCAAAATTAGCCCACACAACTCCAAATGCTCTGATCTGTCCTGTATTTCTTAGATAATTTCAAGTCAACAGAGCAAAAGTTCGTGTGCAAAACAGCCTTGGTGTGATCATTTATGTTAATGGAAAAAATTAATCGTGGGCAGGGTTCTTGACAGTCCAGGATTTATTGTTTGATTACATTCATTTTAATTCAGATCGGCCTTTTTAACAACATATTCTTATTATATTGCTGTTAAGTTTGTAGAAATGTTCACAGCAACTGCTCAATAACACTCTTGTTAATTTCCGCCTTGTCATAAACATAATAAAAAAGCCTTCTGTTGGAGTCTATCATTTTTACCTAATAACTCAGTAGACGTGTGAGTGACAAGTTCAATAATTAGACTTACATTAGAATGGTATATGAACATAATGTTGGCAAACGCAACCAACAAAGCTTGGATTACTGGTTTATTTTTTACATTTAAGACAGGTAATTTATTAAAGGCAAAATCAAAGATATATTAAGCAGTAGTGGAGGACATAAAGTCTACTCATGTCAGTCTTTCTTTTGTGACATTTAATTATTCTGTGGCCATTTTGGAAGACAAGTTTGAAATTCTATTTCCCAAGGTCAAATTCAAGCACTTTCAAGATTAATTTTCAAAATGCCAAAGTATCTTTAGGGTTTCAGCTACTAACCCGCTAAATCTGTTGACCTTTCCTTAAGCTATTTGGGAAATATAATTTGATTAAAATATGTTTGTCTTTTTTAAATTAAATTAAATTATATTTGTTAAGCCTTTCATTCGCTCTGTTTTTGTTAGTTTCTGAAGTACAAGATTTTAAATAAATAGAGTTGAACTCTAAGTAAGTGCATTCATCAGTGTTTGATAAAGGTGATTGTGATTAACGTTTAGATTTATTGTGCTACTTTTACATATTTCTTTGAGAAATACAATTAAATAGCAAAAAGAGCCAAAGAAAATCTGCCCCTGTGTGTTAGCAAAGGAGGGAACGCTGAACCTATTTTTATCAGTGCATCTCAACCACATCCTTGCTTACCAACACAACACACATCACACATCCAGTTTGCTGTTAGGAGAAAAATTCAGAAGAATTTGTCACATTTATTTTAAGTAACCTACTGGAGCTGTTAATAATAAAATGATTTATAAATAATTTATAGTGCTGTAAGCTTCATCAATATAACATTACCACATGATCTATTTGTGGGTGCAACGGCTTCATTTGCATATACAGTAAAAGCAACACTGTATATTCTAATCATCTGACTTTGGCTGTCGATAATCCAGATTAAATCATTAATCACCATCTTGGCATCTTCCTAGAGGCTGATTAAATCTGCTCTCTCGGTTCTTGTTTTAATATTCGAGTCAAGACGGCTCACTCAGCTGAAGTAATGAAATATTTAGATAAATCTGGCCAGGAAATGATTCCTCTTTAACACACGGGGCCTGACATGCCAGCGCTCCAATTATGTTTGTGCCAATTGCCTCCAACTACAATAATGTGAATATAAAAAGCAGAAGAAAATCAAGCCCGCTGCAGGCCAAATGACCACTTTCATGAGATACATCCAACGAATTATTACGAAAATTGAAGAAATGTGGACCATGGTTAGACACTGGGAAATACACAAAAGCACTCCTACCTGACTTCACAAGTGTGGACGCTGAGTTCCTTGAAGAGGAGACCACTGGTCAGATTGTAGACAAGTACAGACCCATTACTGGTTCCTAAGAGTGGGGTCACACAAAAAGACAGGATGAGTATTAACAATGTTTTACTTGACTAATGAGTGGGAGATACAGATCATTGGTTGGGTCTAAATTGACAGAAATTACATTGAAATGTCAATATCTTCCCACTTGAAGAGTCAGATGAGGCAGACGCTGCAGCAGAGTGACTTCTTAGAATATCATGATAATATATATAATGATAATATAATGCCACAGAACTACACTTTTGAATTTGCTTTCCCTGCAAACATTCCTCAGCCTGCACTTTGCTGCTGCATAATGACCACATGCTGACACGACATTTGGAGGAGGTACTAGCCAGCGCCCACAGCGGATGCCACATGGGCACAGTTGTGTACGCTGTGTAAGTGTTTATACATGCTAGCATGCGCACGTTATCTTTCAGCAACATGCGTAGATGACTGATGACGTACAGTGTTAATGTCTCAGCAGGAGGCTGGACAAACAGAGAAAGGGACGATTTGGAGGAACATAAGCTCCACCATCCTCGTGAATATTCGCCTCGCAGATGGTTAACAAAATTGGTATGAAACGCACAGTCATATTGGAATTAGGAATTGAACTTGATATTTCTTACAACACTGTATTCAGGAGACCCACCAGTCTTTCATTTCTTACGTTAATTAGAGAGGCAAAGAATAAAGGCACAATTTTCTGTGGATGCTGCTAACTGATAAAAATGAAATTGCTTCCTCTGCTTTCTCCGACAGTGAAAGACACTAATATATTCCATTTACCATGTTATGACAACTTTGCTCTTTTTCAGGTAAAGAACATTGAAAAGAACATATTGAACTGCCAATCACTTTAACCGATACAAGAGAGAAAAAAACATGAAGGCAGAGCTGATGTTTACATTTAAATCTTGTATTAAGCACAGAAGACAAAAGGAACACTATTCGGTTTAAGGTGACAAACCTAAAACCCAAGACGGAACAGTTCCTACTCTGCTTGAAAACATTTAATCAATAGTCCCACTGACAGCCCATTGGAGCCACGAATGAGAATCAGACCTGCTTTGTGATTGCTTTGCTCTTTGTGGTACACCTTCGTTTAAAGTCTGGAAGTGACTTTTCTTCAATCACCTTACATATGTGTCTTGTTTATTACTGCCACTTCTCCATCCTTTCCTACTTAAATTGTAAAGGTCAGTTAAGTCTTTTTGTACAATTATTACACAGAATCTTCTTCAGTAACAGTAACATTAATTTAACCTGACAATGGAACAAATGGTAAAATGTTAGTACAGGAAGTGGCGGTGGAGTTGAGTTGGCAGAACACTTAACACGTAAGACAGCTGGCAGCCTTGACGTCAGTAGGTAGATGGCAGTGTGTAGTTGAACAGTCACTGAATTTGTACAAGTCTTAGCAGTAAATCCACAAGTCTTATACCTGTCTGTAATGGATCTGTCAGGGCTCACAGATTACAGTTCTTCTGACAGGAGGCCAGACATTTCTCTGTAGAAAGTTAGGCCGCAGTTTCTCTTACCTCCCTCTGTTGATGGCTAATAGTAAGGAATGCTGACAAAATGGAAATGTGAAAAAAGGGGAAAAATGGTGGCTGGAGTCTGTGTCTCTTGTGGTAATGAAAGTATGGATGGCAATTTCAACCCTGAGTGAGTTAACACCTTCAGAACTGAGCTCATCTTTATTTGCACCGTGTGTAATCTGTAAATGCCTGGTTTCACCTCATTTTTCTACTGACTGGTGTTGCATCACTAAGACTCAATAGTCCCACTCAAAATCTGGATTCTACCTGGAGCCAATGCTTTCAACCTGCCTTAGGTAGAAGCCTAAGGATTAGGTAAAATATACTTGGAGAGTTTCAGACAGACACAGAGACAGCTGTAACTGTCAAGGACTGGATGCATGGGCTGCTCTGGTTTTACTGTTAGACTGCATTATTAGGTATTGATATGTAGTAGAAGTGACAGACACCGACGCCTGTGACAGCACCTGTCGGAGAACCTACTCTGGCATCGTTACAGGGAGTGATGCCTGTGACGGTGACCCACAAAGGTGGTTCATTCACAAAGCTCCACAGTGATCAGAATATCACGTTTAAGGAAAAAAATAAAATCCTCAGAGGTAAATGTAATTCCCAGGTTGTAGTGACACATCTGTATTGATTTCAATAGAAGTTCTACTCCAATTAAGTCCTGTCTTCCATGACCATCATACATGACACTGAATATTTAAAATAAACTGGGGAAAAGATACATGTACAGAATTTACTGAAAACACTGTATTAGCATTTTTTTCCTCACCAGAGCAGAATATACACATATGTACATACACACACATATTTATACACATACATATTGTATACATGTATACAAATAAATACATGTGTTATATTATATTCATAATGTGGTTGTTCAATGAACACAATTTGTTTTTAGACATCGTTCTTGGACAGTTTCTGTCTGTTGAGTAATTTAATTTTTTTAGACGTCTTGTCTCAACCAAGTGTCAGTTTTATTAATAAAATGTCTTACATTTATGGTTTCATTATATATAAATAAATCATACAGTTATCTTATATAATTTTAACACATATATTGGTACACAGTAGTTTTGTCTTCAGTAACAAATTACTTTACAAGGAAGAAGTAACTAGTAACTTGTCTTAATTTACTGTTAAAGTAACTTGACAACACTATTAATTTAACACAAACTGAGCAAACTTTTTCTCCCTACTCCATTTTTTTTGTAATTAACCGGTCCCTAAAAACCTAAAACGCACAGGCCAGAGAACCAGTCTAACAAAAAGAACATTTACATAAAGCTGCTGGAGACTGTTTAACTGCTTGACTGAAAAACTACTGCGGGGATAGCATCATAGTCTACTTTTAGATTCTGAGGGCCACTGAGAAATAGCAGTGCCAAATCAACCCCACACCATCTGTGACATTAAATGCGGCGCCTGCCTACCTGCATCAGGGTTTCACAGTGAAACATCCTCAACTGGAAACTGTTTTTGAAAATCACAGACTTTTGTTGAAATGCACCTAGAAATGCTGACAATCAACCACGAACAAATCAAACTGTGTGGATTTCTATAACACTTCTTCTTACTTACATCACTCTGTAATAACTGAAAAGACAATTAATTTGAAAAGAAAATACAAATTATTACTGAGGAGTAATTCAATTCAAAAAGATGCAAATGTATAATTAAGGCAAGGTCATTTTCCCATGACTACTTTGAGGGTTTTTACATAAAAAAAGGAAAAGAACAGTGGAATACAGATTTAATATCCATGTGCTCACACACACAGCTGAGCCTTCCATAATTTTATGCGTCATTACAATGGGGGGGAGGGAGAAAAGCTACTGATGCGAATCGTAATGCTGCTCTAAAACAAACAGTATCTCTAACTGGATCTCTGTTGCCTAAAGTGGTCTAACGGGAGTTAAAACAAAGGCTAATATTAAAGAATAAGTCAACAATATTTGCATAATTTAACATCGAAAAAAATCTCTTCCATTTTCGTTAGGAAATTAGATCAGAGACTCAAGACTCAAATACATCAGCACCAACAGAAAAGTCTTTACTACTCTAACCGTTAAAAGGCATTTTAAAGAGCAGCAGATTAGATGTAAAAATATTACATAATTATTATACAATAATATATTTTAATATATTTAATTGTTCAACATTACACTCATTTAAGTTAAATATAAGATGCTATTTGTTTAATTAAATACATCTGAACAACTATATACAGTATATAAAAATATAAATAAATTATATATAAATATATATACATGCATCTGTTTAGCACAAAACAAATGTTGCAATTGCAATAATTTAAATTTGACTATATAAATCAATAAATGTACCTATGAACTATGAACAGATTAAAAAACACATCATTTCAGTTTTTAATTCAGTTGTCCAGTCAGGTTTAGTTCAGTTCAAACATGGCTTGTTTGTAAGTGTTCTCCTACATTTTCAGTCTAACTTGAAGTTAAACGTATACAACATAAAAATGCATTAGATTCAGTTTTGTTTAGCCTCAATGAGGTTACTGCCAGGTAGGAATTAAACAGGTCCAGTTCTGGGTTCAGTTATGTACAGACTATAAATGAAGGGTTTTCTGGCCAGTTACAAAGTTTATTCCTTGAACTCAACAGATGACTTTTTCCACACAACTCTTTCACTTTCCTTATAACTGAGATGACCTTATTATGCTATTACAATTTCCACTGTTTCCCTTTCTCACTTGTCACTGATCCACCTTGCCGCCAGCTTTCCTTGTATGACTTCACTTCCAAACTCACCTCACAGATGTGCCGTGCTTATAAACTCCATCTGTTCCTACTCAAATTGTAAAGGGCAGTTCAGTCTTTTTTTAAGTCCATCTGCTTCAAATATTATTAATAATATTATATTTTGCACTTCTAGGAAAAACCTCACGCGTTTCAGTGTTTTGATGCACCGTGTGGCTATCATGTGTCACCTACCTACAGCCAGCAGGGGTTGGTAGTGGTTGATGTTTTTGGTAGTCAGTGGCGGACACATGCGAATGGCAAAGGGAGGCAAAGGCAGACCAGACAGTAAGCCAGTCAGCAGTAACTTTAACTGGACCTCCTGTTGGTTAGATGAGAATGGAGGAGCCTCCCCAGCAATCAATGTTTGGCCTGCAGGTGAAACCACAGCATTTAAAGTGAGTTGCTTTAAAATGAATGATGATCAAAAGTAAGCTTAAAAAAGTAAGCTTTCTGTATATATATATATATATATACATATATATATATATATACACACACTGTATTTCTATATATACTGTATTTCTCATCCGTGTGTCATTTAGCTCAGGGATTTGATTTTGCTGCATGTGTAAACCTACATCCCACTGTGCCTCCTGTGGTGTGGGTTGTCTGTTTATCATTATACCTATCATGCTGTTGAGACAGAGATCTGGAATCCTCTTTTGTGATGGACCCAGTGTAGCTCCACAGAATGACACGGGGGAGTACAGTGGTGACAGACCCGCACTGACAGACAGAGAGAGAGAAGGAATACGAATGAAACCATTTTTATCAATTAAAATGACACAAATGCACAAATGAAGACAAGTGAGAGGGGAGTAATAAATGATTAGTGCTTAGGCAAGTGATGAATGTGATTTGCTGGGATGTAGAAGCCACAGCAGAAAACAACTTCTTCCCTTATTGATTAAATGCTGGCGTGTTGAAAAAAAAAAAAAAAAACTGAATTGGAATTTTGCTACCCTTAATCGGTGGATGGGAATCCTATTTACCTACAAACTCTCTTGCTTGTGTTAAAGGTGTTAAAATACATGCTTTCCGTTTTTTTAACATCTTTCTTTCTGTAAAAAAATAAAACATTTAAAGCCTAAACTTAAGCATTACTTTTCATTTACAAGGACACATGATTGCACAACCTCCATTAGAGTTTCCCTTAGTTTTTACCAAATAAGGTGAGGCTGTAGAATGGATATAGATGAGATTAATAATATCTGACTTTTGTATCATAATTAATTCAAAGTTTATTAGTCAAGTATAGGAGATGTCAGTTTTGGTCGAAAACACATTCAAATAAACGGGCAAGGACATTAAATGTTCTTCCTCTTAATTCAGTTGCGTTGTCTATTAAGTAAGCTTCTGACTAGCACTTGAATCTGACTAGAGAATGTAGCTAGAGTTTACGTAATCTTTTAGATGTGCACTAAGATACAGTACAAGTAATAGTAAACTAACAGAAGTGGCTGATGACGCTAATAGTTGTTAGATAAAGTTCAGTAGCAGGGATGCACTTGGAATGTCTCTTGTACTCACTCTCTAAACACGTAAAAGATGTGTGAACTAGCAGCTGAATCATCACGATTCACTGTCAAACCTGAATATAAAATATTCTATACAGTGAATAAATTGCCACTAAAGCAGTGCTGCAACTCTTATTAAACATGTAGCACAGAACATTCCACAATTGTTTACAAGAAAACCCATATGGCTGCGTGTGTATTCACCTGGAGTAGGTAGCAGATTTGCCAGCGTGGGCTTTAAGCTCCCACAGCATGACTCTGCCATCACTGACCATCAGTGCAGCATTGTTTTCATTGACAGGGCAGACAACCATCTGATAAGGCCGGACGGTCTTTGTGACTCGGATTGCATCGCACTGTGAGCGAAGGTCGTACATGAGCTCCTGTACACTCTGTTCTGGGTCTGTGGAAAAAAGGGAAAAAGTAAGAGGTGGAAATCAGGGAAACATTAGGAAGATAAAATCATCAAAGGGCTGGCTGACAGTGAGGGAGGCTAGACAAAAAAGAACAATGTGAGAGAAAGATGGGTGAGATGGATTCAGAGTTGAAATGGTCTAAACATGAATGAAAACAGACAAAAAGAAGAATAAAAAGAAAGCTATGGTAGAGTTCACTGGAAGATGTTACCATTAATAGAAATGAGAATAACAGGGTTAGGAGATAAGAGTTGCAGGCGGGGACCTGAGTAAAACCTTCTTCAGTACAGGAGTCATCAAAAGATACCAGAAGGGATTTTAAAAAAGATAAAATGACAGAAGATGAGGACATTATTAGGGAAAGGCAAGAGAATAAGGCAAAAACTGAGACGTCAGCATGCACACAAAAGTGTGAAGAGAGAGAAAGAGAAGAACACAGATTGAACAAGACTCCCATTGATCTACGGCAGTATGCAAATGAAGCTGTTTTGGGGCTAATGGCTCAATGGAGTGCACAGAGGAAAGCAGCCAGCTTTGACTTAATTGTGGTTTCGCTGAACAAAGGATGACAAAAAGAACAGCGGTTTGTGAAAATAGAACATTTTGACATTTGGCATGTTGCCATGTTTTACCTGCTGCTTCCTCTGTGGCAGACGGAGAGCGACACACTCGAAGGGTGATGCAGCCGTTCTCATGGAGACAGTAAAGAGCATCTCGCTGAGCACAGGGAATGACCTTAAAACACAAAAACTCAAGGTTACAAAAGATGACCACATATAAGAAGTTGAACTACTGTTTAGTTAACAAAGAGTTACATATAAAGAACTGGCATCAATGACCGCAAGTGGTCATTTGCTATGTAGAAGAAGAAGAATAACAAATTCTTCAGGACGAAGACAGTTTGTTGTTTTGCTTCTTCATCGTCCTCCTATTCATCTTCTTCCCTTTTGATTCCGTGTCTTTTTCACCACTACTACTACTAGTAACCCGACCACTTCCTTCTGCTATTTCTTTTTTTTCCTTCTTCTTTCCAACATATATGCCAGATCTAATGTAGCAAATAAATGGGATTCAGAAAAAAAATGGCTGATCATTAATACATAACTCTGTCTGATTGGTTAATACTCAAGAGAAAAAGTATATTAAGGTGAGCTATATTTATTTGCATTTATCTGTTTTTTTCCCTATCTACAGGTAACACTACACTGCAGTCTGAATTTTGTAGAACCCATGTCATCAGTCATGCAAATTGGCTGTGAGACGAGCACCTTGTAACATTCAGGAAGAGGGGGTGTCGGTTGTACAAAGAGTAATAGTCTGCTCTCCCTATGAGTGGCCCTAGGAGTTTTCCCTTCACTTAAACCTTTTAATAAAAGACATGACCATAGCATACTCATTTGAAAAAATATATAGCATGCTTGACAATTTTATACATTAATAGAAAATAATACTGTGATATAAAAATGATTAATGAACATGCACAAATGTGAATTTCATCGCAGAAGGAGTTGTGAATAAATGGCTCAGGAACGACCACAGTGAAAACCATGAGACCTTCTCTAGGCTACTGACGAGACTCTGAAACAGAGCTTCTCAGACTGTTACAAAGCACTCAGACAGCAAATAGAGCTGGGTGACATTAAAAGATATGTCCTGTTCTGTTTTTGGCTGCAAAGCTGTGACACTTCCTCGATATGATACTCCTACATCGTTCATCTAATTCTCATTTGAAATCCATTCTCCAAAAAAGACCAAGTGGAGCATAAAGGTCAGTTGTGCTGCTGAATGTCATGATGAAGAGCAAGAGTTGGTCAAAGTGAAGGCTGGGGAGATATTTGTGTTGCCTAGGAGTGGACGTTATCGCTGTGCAGGTATTTTGACCAGAGGTGATCTATATAATAAGAAAACGCTGTAATTTAGGTTGAATTTAAGGATAAGGGTCATCTCTCAACTCTCATTTGAAGGAAGGTCAGAATATTGGTATTAGGAGGATGGTCAGGCTAATTGACTAGAGTAATTTTTTGCCAGCCAATGTAGGTCAACTAATTATCAAAAGGAGCAAAAGCCAGTAACTGTGCTTATGTCCACAGAGCCACTGATGCAGAGGTTATGTTAAAGTTTTAGAAAGAAATACATTCCTGCCTGGGGAAGCTCTTTGGAGAAGGGCATCATGGATTTTTTAGAAGGACAATAGAGGACATCAATGTGAACAAACTACCAATGTGTGGTATAACAGACACTGGGTGTGACAATCAATCTCCTGTTTAAAATGTCAGGCACATCATAAAGAAACAATGAAAATGGTGACCATGAACTTTTGAGTCTTTTATACACAAGAACTACAACAAATAATATCCTCATTTCAAGGTTTAAAGAAAAGTTATCCTGATATTATTTTACCGAAATACCAATTTTAGAAAGTATTTTGGATGATAAGTTTTTTGACCTTCACTTTTAAGTAATGTGCTTCCGTTATCCGTTATCATGCAGAACGCAATTTAAAATCGCTCCTCACCTGCATGAATGGCACCCCAGAGCGCTCAATGGCCACCACGCCCACTGTCTGGCTGAGCTCCAGGTCCAGGATGAGGATCTCTCTGGGATAGAGCAGCAGCATGTGGTTCCTCTTGGACGGCAGGTAGGACAGCTGCAGACAGTCGTTCAGCGTCACCACCTCTGCACTAAAGTAACACAGGGGAGAGTGTGTGTGTTGGAACACAACCAGTAGACATAAAACACAAAAGTAATGGCAATGTTACTTATAAAGAGGAGGAGCCAAAAACCTGAACAGGTTAATTGGTGGTAGAAGAGGCCAAATACTGTAGCAATGTTTATTATCCAGTATCTAAAAATAATAGTAATTAGTGCAGTAATTACACAAGTGGGTTTAGTGAATAGTAGAGGTATTTCATTCATTATATACGAAAAAATACCTTAAATTTGTCTAAATGATAAAAATCAAATAAATAAAATACCATTATTCACAGCAGCCAGATCGGATGTCTGTGTGAAAACAAAGCAGGTAAATAGTTAACTGACCCAGGAGTCATCAGTCATTCATACTGATCAATGCCAGGGGACTCATGAATGTACATGAGACTAGATTTTTTTCTTTCAAAAAGAACTCAGTAGAGAAAACTTAAATCACACAGTCACCAGCTCACGGAAGTCCAGAGAGGAAGACACACTGGCTGAGACTAAACCAGTGAAGATAAAACATCATAAAGAGACAGGGATGATGTGCCTTGGATTAAAAAAAAACAGAATGGATTTAAGGAAGAGAAAATATGCAGCTGTCTTAGACATCTACTGTACCACATCACACACTTTTCTTCTACTCTCTTTTTGTTTTGAACAAACTATAGAGGATACAGCACACACTGGATAATTGATTGTTCATGTGACTGTTATGCAAAGTGTGTCTCTAAGCAAAACTTAAATAATAATACTAGTAAACAACAAGGAAGTATTCATATTTATGGATAAAGTAAACCTATAATATTATATATATATAAATATATAGATAGATATTTATAGTGGTGCTTTGCCCCAGAGGCAATGTCTCTGTCATTGGTGTGGAACCACAGGGTTCACCTCCTGGGCAAGTTTGAATCCCGGTTAGGTTGGTACCTTCCAGTGGACTCACCACCTGCAGGAAGGTTCAGGGGGGTTGGTACGGTGCAGTGTGATTTGGGTGGCGACTGCTGCCCCCGTGACCCGGTAACGGATAAACGGATAAAAATGGATGGATGGATGGATATTTATATTACATTTGCTGGCCAACACTACTTCAGGGTAAATAAGTCTAATCAGAGATTAATACACCACAAAATATCCACAGTTTTAAATAACATTTTAGTGTGACCACTTCAATGACAGGCCTAAGGTCACATGGGCATAGTACAGCCTGATGCAATGAGACAGAGCAAGACCTGTGTGTGTGTGTCTGTATTTGCGCATGCGACCAAGTGTGCACATTTGTCTGCATGTCGTATGTGTAAACAGGCGAGTTAGAAATAAAGTCCGAAAGAAAAGGCTGTCACTATGATAACGAGACCACGTCCCTTCTAGGTACCAATCAGATTAATGGCTGTCAGATCAGACACTTAGTACATGAATTACATGTGTATTCAACAGGTTCCTGACAACAGTTTGGAGAAGCAGATCCATCAACTAGAGAATGACAGAGCCGAGGAGAGAAGAAAAAGACACTGAGATATGACATCCATACAGAGAAGGCTGGGGGACCGTGGCGTTCGCAGCAAGAGCAATTACCACGGCGTGAAAGATAAAAACACGATAGCGTGACATGCTAATATTAGAGATTACAGAGAATGTCGCAAGTGTTACAAGGGAAATAAATAAGTAAAATATATTAATAATACAGGGCTTGTTATTAGAAGAAGCTGGGTGGGTGGACACAGCGGCTGCAGTGATGCAGCTATAAATATGCCAGAAACAAAGAAGCTTCTGGAACAACAAAAGGACTGTTTTCCTTTTCCTTTTTGTTAAAAACTTGCTGGAAAATCACAAGGAATTATTCTCTTTTAAAACATAAGCAAGTTAATGTACAGTCATGTTAATCAAAACATAACTTTTATCTATGTTTTGTGGTATTTTCTAACAATATGCAGCCAAATATTGTGTCATTATCTAAATATCCTATTTTTTTATTTGTATTTGTTTGTTTTTGCTCTTGTGAGAAATTTCCCATTTGGGACCGTTAAAGTAAAAACCTCCATCAATAGAGAACATCAAAGTTAGATACACTATATCACCAAAAGTATTCGCTCACCTGCCTTGACTCATACCATGAACTGAAGTGCCATCCCATTCCTAACCCAGAGTTCAATATGATGTCGGTCCACCTTTTGCAGCTATTACAGCTTCAACTCTTCTGGGAAGACTGTCCACAAGTTTGAGGAGAGTGTTTATAGGAATTCCATTGACCATTGACAGAGTTGACCATTCTTCCAAAAGCGCATTGGTGAGGTCACACACTGATGTTGGTCGAGAAGGCCCGGCTCTCAGTCTCCGCTCTAATTCATCCCAAAGGTGTTCTATCGGGTTCAGGTCAGGACTCTGTGCAGGCCAGTCAAGTTCATCCACACCAGACTCTGTCATCCATGTCTTTATGGACCTTGCTTTGTGCACTGGTGCACAGTCATGTTGGAAGAGGAAGGGGCCCGCTCCAAACTGTTCCCACAAGGTTGGGAGCATGGAATTTTCTTTTTTTCAGGAGGTGGGCTTGGCCCCTTAGTTCCAGTGAAAGGAACTTTGAATGCTTCAGGATACCAAAACATTTTGGACAATTCCAAAAAAGCTGTAATAGCTGCAAAAGGTGGACCGACATCATATTGAACTCTGGGTTAGGAATGGGATGGCACTTCAGTTCATAGTATGAGTCAAGGCAGGTGAGCGAATACTTTTGGTAATATACATATATAAAAAACAAGTTTCCCTGCAAATGCAGTTTTGAAAAAATGTCATAGTCATATTTTTTTCCGTATTAAGGTTCACTCTCTTTAGTGTCACTTGCTGTAAACAACTGTACAAAGAAGCTTGCACAACAGCTGCAAGTGAGTGACTCCCAAACAGAGGAAATGCTCAATAACCACAATTGTGTGTGAAGAAATGAGCTGAAAGCATTTCAGATTGCCTGTGTTTAAAGGAAAAATAGAGTCTCATCAGTTATCAGTTCTTACGTGGGTTTTTCATTGGTTATGAGCACTTTGACTTTGTTGAGGGCCTTCTTGGCACCAGTAGGAGCCGGGGTGGCAGCAGGAGCAGGTTTAGTGTGGGCGGGGCTAGCATGAGGGCTGGCGATGTAGACCTTTTTGCCAGAGCTGCCAGGGGGCTTGTTGTGGGAGAAGTCTGTGATAAAGACTATTCCCTCACTGGTCAACACTGCCAGGGGAGAGAGAAGAAGCATTAAGAGAGTCTTATTTACACACTTTACTGCAAATCTGGGAAGGACATTTTATTTTCTTTAGCCAACAAAATGTAACAAATAGAGTTGAACTATTACAATAGATGCAGCCACACTAAAGCCTCACAAGCTCATGCTGGTACATGACCTTTGACATTTACAGAATGATGCTCTCAGTGATTAAAGTATTACAAATTAAACTTATATGTACTTATACACACATATATATATACATATATACAGTATATACATATATATATATATATAGATATATAAATATATATATACATGTACCTCAGTTTGCCCATATTGTACCTCAGTGTATTGCAGCATGCATATTTTTGTATTTGCATTAACTCTGTCTTCTGTCTCATGGAATCTTTCAACAACTATTTAACCCTAAGTCTGCATTATTTCATCATACAGTATATACTGTAGCGTTGCACCCTGGGGCTGTCTCATAATTCTGCACACTATTTCTTTCACTTACGTGCCATGTTGGAAGGGTCAAAAGGGTCAAAGGAAAAGGAGAGGATGTTTTCAGCATAGCTCTTCTTCCATAGCTTTGTGCCAGTGTCTCCGTTCCACAGGACAATGTAGTTTGGAGGGTGGATGGCCAGTAGAAGATCACGAGATGCATCCTGATTCCACAGCCACTCCAAGTCTGACAGAAAAGTAAGAGAATGGAACAGAAGGTACCATACTGATTTACATTATAAGTAGCACCAGGGCTCTAGACATTAGCACAAAATTTAGGACCTCAATTAAAGTCATCATGCACTTTTGAGTGTGGCATTACATTTTTTGCATCACCACTGCTTCCATTTATATAAATCAGGGGAGCTGACTTTAAAAATGGTAGCAGAACGCAACTGAGCAGCTGCAGAATGGAACCCTACAGTGAAGAATATGAAGAGTTATTGTGCAGTACAGCAGGCTAAAATATCAGGGAGGGATGGCAGGAACATCCCATAATAAAAACAAATTGCTAACAGCAGAGTATTAGCTCATGCATATCTCCTGGTGTCACTGGCAATTCCCAGAGTGCCTTTTTCTATTAGGAGCTGAGGGAATAAAAGAAAAATCAATTCACCCCAATGTGTGAGTGCTCCTACCTTGGATGGGTTTAGAGTGCTCCTGGATCTCACAGTGGGCAGTACCACTGACCACATCCCACACAATGATCTTCCCTGAGGCATCTCCAGAGGCCAACCTCAGACAGTACGGTGAGCTCAAGTTGTGGTAGTAGTTTTCTCTGGACCATTTCACCTTTCGAGCACAAACACATGACAAGTAGCCGTACATGCTTCCTTCCAACAGAGCGTCTCTCAATTGCACCTCTCAGATCGCACTTTCATTCTTGAGTGATTTAAACTGAGCAGTTCCAATTGGTCCCTTTCTGCTTAGAGCAAACTCAGTACTTCGGCACTTTTACAGATTTCAATTAACTGTAGCGCATGGACCTATGGTTTTAGGGCAAATATAGGTAAATATGCTACACGACAAACAAAGCTAATAAAAAAAAAACTATTATTGTTATTTTATTTTATACAACACATTTAAAAAAATCTGATATGATTTTGTGAATCTATTCTACAACAGTTTTGTACCTAACTTGTCATTTAGTAGGATTTCTTGTATCAAGAATTGCATGGAAATTTACACCATGGAGTATTGTAATTATCTTTAATTTAGTGACTTAATTCCAATCCAACTTCCAATAATAATTTGGCCTGAAGCCTTATGTTTGGTGCAACCAACAACAAAAGAATTACATTTAAAAAAAAGTGATTGAGAAAACCTACCTTGACCACATTGGCTTTATGCTTTTCCAGAACCTGGATGGTCTGAGCTGTCTTTGGATCAATAATGAGAATACTGGAGTGACATCCCTGAGCTATCAGCCCCTGCCAACCCCTGCATCAGTGCATAGAAGTCACAGAATAGGGTAAAAGGAAAGGGGTAAGAAATATTGCATATTATATGCAATATGTGAACTATTTTATTGATAACATATAATATCTGTTGTTTCTAAATGAATATGACTATACTGTCTTCATGAAGCAATGTTTAGGTTATGTATACAAGTTATGATCAACACTGGATCATGCAAATATATCCATCCATCCATCAATCCATCCATCCATTTTAATCCGCTTATCCTTTACCGGGTCGCGGGGGCAGCAGTCGCCACCCAAATCCCATTGCACCGCACCCTAAATATAAACATAAACATATATATATATATATATAGCATATATATATATATATACTATATATATATATATATGCTATATATATATATATATGCTATATATATATATATATGCTATATATATATATATATATGCTATATATATATATATATATGCTATATATATATATATATGCTATATATATATATATATATGTCCATGCCAAAGGTTTATGCAAGAGTTATCATACACTTATTGAAAGCAATCTGCAAACTGACCACGTTTGAGCAAACAGATAATTATTTTATATTTAAAAAAACAAAATGTATTTTTCTCACACAATAAATAATAAATGTGTTTCGTGTCTAAACATTTTCTTACAAATGTCACAGTTTATATACTATTTAGGTGTTTTCTTGTGAACAAGGTCTTAAGCAATAAATGGCAGACAATTAGTTCATGCGTTAGGGCTTAGTCCCTGTCGCAATGCCAATGAAATCCAGGGCTTGTGACATTTTTCAGACCCAGAAATGCCACATAATATCACATGACACGACACGACACGACATGACAGAAGGCATCCTGCAAATCACTGTTTTGTTGTTTAAAGTAGTTTTTGCTCCGGTTACCATGACTGTCTTTCCAAGAGTCAACAAATGAAACACTGGAACAATTCAACACTTCATGTTTATCATCGATTTGTCATGCATTTTGAATTATGTGTCTGTTTTGCTAGCGGCACCAGTGCAGTACTCACCAATCTACCGCGGTTTTATTCTGTAAATTAAGAGTGCCAGTCAACGTCCGAGCCGCGAGTTTGATGTTGACGGTGTAAGGAATCATAGCTGTTGATGCGTATTATTGCTACATTAATATTTATTTATAATATGCAGCTTAAAACAAATAGCTCCGTCGTCTCCGCTCTGCGAAACCAAATAGGAAGTAAAACGGTGTCTCGAAACAAAACTCCGTGTAGGAACAAAGCCCTGCAGAACGAATGTTCCGGGAATGTTACGGAGCGTAATGTTTTTAATAAACGGTGAGCATCGAGCGCTTTTATTTAGATCCATGAACTAATGGTTTGTATTTTTATTTTTTCATGAACATTATGATTTGTCATTTATATTTAGCAATTTTTCTGAATTTGGGTTTAGATTTTTAACAATGTTGATGGGATATGGGATGGGATATGGGTAGATGTTCAGTTTTTTTCTTAATTTGCATGTTGTATGAGAGACATTCACTTTAAAAATGATACTGATTAAAATACTAACATGTTGTTATAGCCATATAATAGTCCAAACTGTACAGTAAATTTACCCACCCAGGTCATAACCCATCTCTGTTGAATGCTCTGTTGTTTTTGTCAACTTTATTACACATCTGCAACTTAGAATTTCAAATTATTCCATTAGAAAAGTACGTCAATAAAATGTTAAGAATATTTTTAACATTATGTAATATCTCCAATTAATTATATGTATAACAAAAAACCTGTACAGTGTATATGTATCGCTTATCATCTTGTTAATCCACATCTATCTCTTTATATATTACATAACACGTCACCTGAGAAGTTTCTTGTAACATTCAAGTTAAAAGTCACAGTTGTGGAGAAACACTTTACTGATTTTTTCTGATATGAATGCAGAATGTGTCATTCAAGTCAACAGAAGTTAGCCTTGAAGTCTAAGATTCTTTTGAAAGGTGAACTGAGGCTGAAGTCTGCAGAACTACACAAGGAATATAATCAAACAAGGCATTCTGTAAGTAAGAAGAATGAAACACATAGTCTCCAAGGAGCTGCTGCATACATCTTTTATTAACAGTAGAACCATTGAAAGACCTACCACAAGTTACAGATGAGCTGCAGAACTTTAGGGTGGAGGAAGTGGGGGGACTGAGCTCAATGATGAGGTCAATAATTACAAATCTTTATATTTTTATCTTTGTGTAATTACAAATCTTTGTTTTAGATGATGAACTTAAACATAAGATTATAAATTCTTTACAGATATTGGTAGGATGTTCTGCAGGAAGGTTCTGGATCTTCTAAAGTAGACACAAAAACAAAGGCTTACTTTTTGAGATCTTTAGAAACTTCAGATTAGAACAGTTAGGACTAGTTTCTATGAAGTTCTCAATACTGCAGTAGAATGCTCCTTGGGAACCCCAACAAGCAGATGTAAAATTATTCCACTGTTTCTTAACAGCTCCTCCGGGGTTCATTTTCAATTTGATTCTGACATATAGTTGGTTTATATATGGAGATTTACAAGGTTGTGAATCTCATTTTGACAGGTTGTAAATGAAACACATTGTGGTTACATGTGCCATTCAGTGTGAGAGATTAAAATTTAGCCATTGCATACTGAATATCTCATCACAACTCGCTGTCACTCAAAAGTTTCTCTGCAGAGACCCAGTGCTGCCTGATTCTTGGAAATATATTATATGGTTATATTTCCTTTAGGAGAAGCGATCTGTTATTTAAAATTGCCTAAACAATGACTAATCACATCCTACTTAAGAAGAGTTTGTTTTCTACATTCTGAATGAAAACTGAGTTTTCATTTTAGATGCAAAATACCTAAAGCTAGCAAAAAAAAAAAAAAAAAAAAAAAGGAAAAACTGTAACTGGAAATAGGTCTGGGTGCAAAAGAATCTCAAAAAAGTCTATGGTCTGTGCACATAAATTACATGTTGTAGAAAAAAAGAACCTGAAATTAGACAGTTAATATTATTTACCTTTAATATCCTATTTGTTTTTTAGACCATTCTCACCATTATAAACCTACTGTTGTTGACCGTGAAGTCAATCAGATATAAAGAGATTTTGGAGTCATGCAGTCTCCCTTAGAATAAACCATCAGTAAACCAATGTAATCACCAAAGGGAGATCACCCGATTGTTCTTAAGTGAACGTCAGGATGACCGATGACGCTACACTTTGCAAGGACAGCTCTGCACGAAAGATAACTAATTTCCATATACAATTAAAACAGACATCTGCTGTAGGATTGATAATGAAGGCTTGGGTTGTGCAGTGAACACAGTCTTCATAATTTATATTCCAGTCTGTAGTGATTACAGTGTTGTTAACATGATTTAATCCGTTGACCTGTATCAGCAAAATAAAACGACATTTCAATGCTCGGGTTGAATAATGCTTTCAGAGAGGAGCAATTTATAGCGCCGACTTAAATGACATGATTGCATGCAGTGGTATGACCTTTGATGTACATGGGAGCAACGAAGGGGAGCTGCTATTTAAATAAACACAGGCATCAACATCCAGTTCTTACTCATCTGTATTATGAGCCAAAGTGTGTGTGGGAGCATGTGTTCCTGGATATTTGTAATGGTCCTGGTTGACACAGGAAAATAATTTTATACTTAAAATGGAAATCAATATCACATTTCCTTAGAGCAGGATAAAAAAATGTCTTCCATGAACTTCCATTAGTCAATATATAAGAAACAAGAAAATAAATAAATGTTAGAAATACCACTTCTAAACTGAGAACATGATTATGTTAACAACTCTTTCTTCTATTCTGTCCTGTGCACAGACACCTTCGGTTCAGTCTGTAGTAGTCAAATGATAATGCCTGCTGTAAAACTCCCTCTGAACCATTATGTGGAATTTTAAACTACTTCAACGTTACAAAAGAATAAGTCAATAAACCACAGAGCAACCAGTGAACTGACAAACAGACAGGTAATGACTTCACATCAGTGACTGAATTACATATGAGAACAGAAGCGTTAGCACATTGACACGTAACCCTGACACTGAGCTGTGCATATCACATAGGCTTCAGTGTCTCCAGGTTCCACTTAACATACAGTACAGCACCTATGCTAATATAGCAGTCAGTCAGTGTAACCTGTCACTATTCAAACTGCGGCCCAGCCCTCAGTGTTTATTAATGTATAATAGATGGCATAGTGATGGACAGCACGCTCTCTCCAGAGGAGTATAAACAAAACATATTAAACTTCAGTTCCTATATTCAACATTCAGGGCAGATAAGGTTTCCAAGCCCATTAGTGAACAGGGAAGAGTGGTTGGGGAGTGAAGAGGCCGGCAGAGCAGTGGTGAAATCATTTGACCACAGGCCATGGCTCTGCATCATTAATACTCATTACTAACCTCATCAAATTATTATCTAAGTAAACACATTAATTTACATTTGTTTTCCTCTCAAGTCCCAAAACTAAACAATTAACAATTGTATTTGCAAAAGTTTTTTTTGGACTGATGTAGATCTTCCATTGCTGGTATATCATTATACATTTCTTACAGTAGCTGAAATTCAGATATTGACCTTTTGGCTTTTTGCATAATGTTTAATTTTTTGGAACTCTTCCATGGGTCAACATAAAAATAACACATTATCTTTTCTAGAAAAAAAATACAGTGCAACACATTAGAGAAACCATCACTTTGTGGTGTTGAAACACCACTGGTCCTTGATTTAGTCTCATTCCATATGTTACGTTTGCTTGCTTTATTGTTCTCCTCTCAGCCTGACAGTTGGATCAATATCAGCCCGTACTGATCTTCAGGAACGGAACCGATCCATCACTTGTGACAATACTGAAGTAAGCATTGGCATTTAAGTTTTGTTCAGTTGGTCTATGACACCCAGAGAGTGACAGGTAGGTATACCACAACATTCCCCTCGCACCAGCAGCGTGAATTGTTTTTTTTTTTTTTCTCACTGTAGGAACTGACACAGGATATGGTCTTCTTCTATTCAAGAACAGTCTTTGAAGTGTTGTGCATTTAGAGAGGTTATTTTAATGCCTTGTTGTAACAAGTGTTTTCTAACCAGCGCCAAACATTTCTGTTATTCTTCACAGACAAACATGTTTTTTTTTTTCAGTTTCTAACGGGAGAACTCTGAGTGACAGAGAACACAGAATCGCAGTGCAGGAAAATCCCAGCAGATTAGCGTTACTTATTAGTGTTTCAAATACTCAGACCAGTGTGTCTGGCACCAGTGACTGTACTCTTTAATGTCACATCATTACTGCTATTCCCCAGTGCGACTGCTCGGTTTCAGTGCTAACAGGTCATCCTGAACCTGCCTCTGTAGATACCTTATAGCACCCAGTTGCAGGTAATTGGGTGACAGGATATTTCTTAATGAGCTGTTACTCATGTGTACTCAGTGGCTGTTGAGTTTACTCCTCAAAAATGGGTTATGGAGTTCATTCGAGGTCCTAAGAACTTCTTTTGCATCTCTGGTCCCAGACATTTTTTAGAAGTAACTTTATATCTTTTATCTAAAGAAAGAAAAGTAAATTCATTCGAGATCTTTTATCTAAAGAAAGAAAAGTAAATCCTGTCAAGCCAACAGTTGTTAGTAGTGGCTTCAACAAAACCCTGTTGCTGTGGATACGCAAAAAAACACAGCTAGACAGAGATGCATAAAAAGACAGAGACGCTGAGGAAAAAGAGCCACACATAAAAGAGATAGCCCACGATGGTTCTCTCATTTGTTTCAGTGGCATCCCATTGCATTCCAACACACTGGCAATATTGACCACAGATTTGTAAAACAATAAAAAAATGGATTTCAATGTGAAACTACTATTGAAAAACTCACTATGATGAAAGAAGTTAAAGTGAGGCATCGGCACTGAAAGGATGAGACTTCAAGGTTGACTTCTGTCAGAGAGAGAAATAAAAACCAACACTTAGCTCCTTACCACAACTCAGCTGAACAAAAGGACCCTTCTAAACCCCTCTCCTCACAATTCCACTTTGAATCACAACAAAACTTACTCCAAACTGAGAAGAGTCCCTCTCATGTGTGCAGCTGTGTCCTTGGTGATGTGATTTGATGTACTTGTACTTGCCTGTGTTGAAAGTCCATTGCTTTCTACCTCCAGATATGTAGGCTATATATATATATATATATATATCCTGCATTTATTTATGAATTAAAATGTCAACTTTTATTTTAAATTTTACATCTTTAGGATTAAC